TTTTTATTCTCCCTGGCGTTCCTCCCCTCTTCTGAGCATAGTCCTGGTGTCACTTACCAGCGATTCGCAAGGACATGAGCACCGAAATTCGGTATTGACTGGCCCGGTAAACTCATGTGTCTGTGTAGGCCAGAAATGGCATTCAAAGCCTCCTGAACAGGAGTTGGCTGTTTGGCTCGTTCTGCCTTTTCCATGGTCATAGAAATTCGAATCTATTACTCTTGTACAAATGAACTTTCCTTCATTGTCGTTCGATCAATAATCGATTTTTCAGAGACCTTAATATAGCAGTACAGTCAGATCAGCGGCATTCGTTTACCGCTGTGATTTCAGTATTCATTGAGCCGATGGAAACGGAAGGTCAGTCAGTCTTGTTTTGTATGCTCTATCAATTGAACTATTTTGCTATTTTTACTATATTTTCTACCATGTGAACTATTTTTTGAAAGATAATATTAGGTTAAATCTAATTATCAACTACAAAGTTGCTGTTTGTTTATCTTTTTGTTTCGCCAATAGTGTTCTGTTTACGTTAGCTGTGACAGTGATTTTTTATGTGTACCTTTTGCCCCGTTGTAAACATAAACATTCTCCGGCGATTTGAATCCTTTTTGTTCTCTTTTGGGCGCTATCGCAAGATACGGGGGCATAAGTATGGTATCTCGAACCGCGTAAAAAATCTCTTTTTTTTGGTAAAGCAGAATTAAGCTTTAGGCGGGGGAGGAAAGACTGCAGAGAAATTTTCCTTTTGTCCAAGTTCCTGTTCTTCCCTAAGCTAGTCCCGGAGGAGGTCCCCGTATTTGGCGATAGCGCCCTCGTCTGTATCCATTATGAATCTCGGTAACCTTTATTACTCCGGGCTCTCTTGTCGTAATCAGTAATTCGTTCAGGACCGGCTCGTCTTCGTCCGAAAAGCAAACGAACCGATGACCCGAGCATTCGGGTTTCTGGTGTATCGGCATCGTCATCGGGTAGTTCAATGAGTCAGGCCAGGTGAGGCTACCATCAGCGAACTGTTTATCTTTTCAACGAGTTATTTTCCACTAGATTGCAGTAGAGCAATTAAAGCCTTCTTCATATGAATAGCGCTAATATCAGCGTTTCGTAGCACTCCCAAATGAGTAATTCAAAACATTTGTGCGGGCGATCGCTCTAAAAGTTAATTTGCTTGGTTTCAGGACCGTATTTAGCACATCGTCGGCGCTCATGTCGTTGGGGGAGGGGTGAGGGTTGTAGGGGGTGGGAGAGCGGTGGGGAGCGGTGGGGTAGGGGTGAAGGAACGGAAAGGGGAAGGGATATTTAATAGAGTGACTGTGGGTGTGTGAGGTACTTACATTATGTGTCTTTAGAATCTTCGAGTCTTGAATCTTGGAGACTCGAGGTAAAACAAGTAACCCCTGATTGACCTTCAAGCCTTTTTTCTAGAGGAATGCACAAAAAACTGCTCTGACGAACGATCATTGACCCTACTTTACTAAGTGCTCTTTCCATAAGCATTACTGGAATACCAGATGGTTCTATAAATGCCTAGATTTCGTTCTAAATCAATCCAAGACGGACGAATTTCAGCTCGTCATCGAGCTCGTCTGCCCACCTCAGCGATTTTCCTCCTTTACCAGCTGGTGAGTGGAACTACCAAGCCCGTGATGAGTCCATTTGTCATTGCCAACTTCAAACCACTAAATGTATTTCAGGGTGGGAAGCCTGCACAGACCAGAAAGGTAGAACGTTCTACATTGACCACACAACAAAGCGAACAACTTGGCAGCGGCCGTCACCGAAGGAAAGCAAGGAGCTCGAGCACCTTGAAGAGGTGAGAGTGAAAAAAAAAATCGTACACTGTCTGAAAGAAAAAACACTCAAGGAGTGGTCGGGGAGGATTTTCCGCCCGAAATGAGTTTTTGGTCCTTTTGCCAACTCCCTCTCTGATGGATAGGTTTTGTTTTTCTTCGTTTCCTTTCTGTCAAATTCTGTACTCAACCATCGTCTGGTACACCCTATTGACCAGTGTGGTGCAACTATCAAAAGAATCATGTCGTATTTGATGCTGTCGTTAAGTCCTTTTGCTTCAGGACCCATCACGAAGCCTATCGCGTGTGGGAAAGGTAGGCGATAAGACGCAGGAGAATCAAAAGGCGGACTACCCACTTTACCCTCCCTACTGCCTACCCCGCCTTTACTACAGCCAATTTGAGTAGCTGCCAAAGTAGGCGCAAAAACTCGCCTATTAGTCTCTCTACGCCCTCAATCTCCCTTGCCGCGCGGTAGGCCTCCTGACGGGTACCCCTCTTGTTTGATGATTTTGCGTATGAGCTATTCAATGTTTGAAGTTATGAAGTAAAGTCATCGCAAAAGTCCGGGAAAGTTTGCACGGACAACTGAAAAATTGAGCGGAGGCCTTTCCCTCTACGAGCTCCGCTTGACCGCTTCGCGACCGCACGCAACCTTTCAGTTCCGCCCCGTTACGATTTGAAGCTAATAGCAGCCTACTTCGATTTCACGCAATGCTCGGAGCTGTTGACAGAATTCTAATGATATTCTGATTTTTTTTTCATTCTATGGAGTATTGAAATGTTATCGGGCGCTCATGTCGGTGGCGCAGGGGAGGGACCGGGGGGGGGGGGGGGTGGGGGGTAGACATTCGAGGGATTGAGCCACTTACAACATTTGAGACTAAGCCTTGGAGAGGGAAGAGACTCAGGAGAAGGAGGTGAGAAGATTGTGTTCTCTCTAGCGTTTCTCCCCACTCCTCAGCCTAGTCCGAGGGTCATCTCCCATCGGCCCTGTTTTGAAGTCCCCCTCCCCGCCAGGGCATTTTTCAATAAATATCTCTTATTCATGAGAATGGGAAAATAACTTGATTACAGGTATTCGATGGCACGTCGAACGGTCGGCATAACTCCGCCGTCCACGCCCTCATACGGCCCCGCACATTTTCTACAACGTTCGGATTTTGTTAGCATACTGCATGAAAATGAGGTGAGCGTTCCTCAAATGTTCCTTTCGATCAATAATCATATGATATGATATCAATGATATTTACGATGGGCTCAGTTTTTGAATGATCGAAAGCATGAGGATTTCTTACGGTTATTTTCTCATTTCCTGCTTCTCATTTGAAATGAGCCGTGGCGTCAATGAAATCGTCCCACTCGGCATCCCTTTCCACTATCCCAACGGCTTCCATACCTTCTGTTGTCTCTTATCCAATATCACGTACCCTATGCCTCGTCAAAAACGCCGCTCCAGGGTCTGCCAATGGGAGAGCCAATGGAACGAAGGAAAAATCCTAAAATTACTGACACATTCTTCACCCACAAGTGCTCCTCTCCTGTGTGTACCTTCTCGACTCTTCACGCTTTCACTGTGCTTCTACGTGGGCAAAGTGAGGTATAACTGTGAAAACTCGGAACATTTCTGGCACAAAGTCGTTATGGCACTAGTCTGAGTCCTTATCTAG